ATTAATATTATTATTTAGGTTTTTTTTTATTAACATCTACTGTTCATATTTTTTCAGAGCATTTAATCTTCGGTATTTACAACATCGAAATTTTACTTGTGTTTAATGCTCAGTATTTACTAAAATATTTATAAGCGTACAATTAACTGGAGAAGGACATGCAGAACAGGATTACTCTTTATAAAATATATGTATATTCATATATAATATATGCACACGTTAATATAAATTCCAATAATCTTTTATGAGTCTAACATGGTTATAAATCTTAGTAAATTATTCAATAATTTGCATATATACGATTGCATCAATTTTGGAATTTATTTTATGTTATTTTATACTGTATTCAAGTAAATACATTTTATAGATAATACTTATATCACTCTGGCAACCCTGCATATTGCACACCCAAAACGACTCGTTTATATAGGGTATATCCTAGTCACACACACTCAACTGAAACTCTCTTCGTTATTTTTTAGTATTTTTTTTTTTTTTTTTTTTTTTTTTTTTTTTTGCCCCATTACATTTTAGAGGCGTCGCAGGCTTGTGGGTGTCACTGTGTTGTCGTTTTGCCCGCCAAAATCGGCAAACCGTCTTCTCGCTCCGCTCCGTTTCGTCCTTCTCTGCTCTAGGCTGCGATTTTGTCGTACAGTTTGCTTCGACGGCTTCTATGCGTACTCCAGTGCCTGGCCTGGGCCGGCGTCTGCTTCCCCGCCGTCGAGTCGCACAGTAATAATTTCTCGCTAATGGTGTCCTAAATTGTCAAGAAATATGGAACCATTTGAATGTGTTGCCCCCACCCACGGACTCCACTTCAGCGTGAGCGCGTGGGAGTGCCAAGCGGAATGAGTTTATATATACATATAGTATACAGTTATGTGCATATATATATTTATCATAAGTATATGCGCGCTGTTGCTGAGAGTGCGGCTTTTAGTTCGTTTGTGTTCTTGACTTCCGGTTAGCCTGTCGGCTAGGAAAGTCTTTGTTTTCGCTTTTGATTTCTTTTCTATGGGCTAAAAAGCAGTAGCAGCAATGGGCGTGTCTTAGGGGGGCGGCTACAGGGTACATGTTTTTGACAACTCAAAGCACACTATGAAGGCTACACAGCTGCCTATATGGGCCACCAGCAGCAGTCAAAGGCAAAAGCTTTTCTCAATGCAATCGGAGTAAGCTAATGTATTTACAGGATTTATACAAATCAATAAATAACCGATCAACTTTCCGCCTCGTTTATATAGTTAGAGCAAAGGGGATGAATACCAGAAATGTATTAATAATTTTCTTATGATTCTGACTAAGCTGAGGAACTTATGGGAATTGATTGTATTGTGAATTTCATTGGACTAAAGTAAGTTAATATTTACTTTATTTAAAGCACTTGGCGCTTATCACTTTTCTCTCCATGGCCACTTGTTGCAGCGTCAGCTTAAAGACGCCGATCAATTGTATAGCTGCTCATTAAATATGGCTGTCTTAACGTAACGCAAGCGTACTACGTCACGTCACGCATACGTCGTATCATTGAGCTATACAGCAGAATTCTTTGTTATCGCCGCTTTGTCTCAGCACTTTGCTGTGGTAAATACCCTCAAAGATGGCATCTCGCATTCATCTTCAGCTATTCAGACAGACAAAAAATGAAACGCACAAAGAGTGTGCGTGTGTGTGCGTGTATGTGTGTGAGTGTGTTGAAGCATTTATGCCAACACAGACGTAAAAAATCTGCTACTTATAAATTATGTTTATTTATTTATTATATTTTTGAAGCAGCTGCGCTCGACTACGCAACATTTTCTTCCTGCTGTCAACGAGTGTCCTGGCTGCCTGGCTGGCTGGCTGGCTGGCTGGCTGGCTGGCTGGCTGGTGGCATAACAATGCTTTCGCTTTGTCTCCGTCCTTCACGGTTTCTTCGTTTTCATAAATCTGCAAAAAGAAAGATGAAAAAATACGTTGTACAAATGTTGTTGACAGCGGACAAACGGACTGACGGACCAACGGACAAGCGGACAGCGGGCAACGAATGGACCCTACAGGACACTTTCAAAGCTGGCCATTTAGGAAAAAA